TCGCCCCCCCCCCCTCCCCTCACTAGGAGTCCGCCCTGGATCCACCTATGACGGTTTTGAGGGAAAGAAACACTTTTGTTAAATTTCTGCTTCCTAGCTGCCATGGTGACCGGGAGAATTCTTCCGCCAAAACTTTCACGGGGCCGTACGTGATAGCCAAGCGAACAAAATAACTGAATTTGAATTTTCTGGGTCGCACGTGGGCAGGAGATACACCCATAAAATTTTAGCTTCCTAGCTTTCGTAGTCCCCGAGATAACAGCTTCCCCGGCCAAAAATTCCACAGGGCCGTACGCATTACTCGGGGGTTCAGGAGGGTTGAATTTAAGTTTCCTGGGTTGTACATAGGCTGAGGACATATCTATAAAATTTCAGCTTCCGAGCTTTCGTGGTTTCCGAGATAATAATTCCCCCCGCCAAAAATTTCACGGGGCCATACGTGTCACCCGCGGATAGAGGAAGGTTGAGTTCATGTTTTTTGGGTCCCACGCGGGCAGAAAACATACCCATAAAATTTCAACTCCCGAGCTTCTATGGTTTCCGGGATAATAACTTCCCCCGACAAAACTTTTGCGAAGCCGTACGTGTTACCCGTGGATGCGGGAAGACTGAATTTAAATTTGCGGGATCAAAGGTTGACAGACAACACTCTACTAAAATTTCAGCCTCCTAGCTTTTGTTGTTCCCAAGTTGAAAGTGCAAGACAAAATCTCGGGTACACACACAAACACGATCAGACAAGCTCGTGACAATATGCGTTTTGCGCTGCTGTTAAAAAGCACAAAACGCATAAAAATGAATGAGCAGAAGCATGAAATATGCAGAAGGTGGAAAAAATAAAATAAGACTATATTTTATGAAATAATTATATAAGGTTATATTTTATGAAGTAGTTTATGTTATCAGGATAGAAATATTTGGTCAAATATCTATAACGTGAAGAAAATAATCGGCAGATCTTGTGTAATTTATACGGATATAGTCCTCGATTTTAATAAATTGCTAGCAAATTTGAAATTATGCGAGGAGATTCACAATCTATGTGGGCTTTGAAGGTTTTAAACTGAAATTCGAGGTAAGAATATGTCACGCTTTGTGCGCAAGCTATTTTTATACATTTTTGCTGTGCAGCGCTATAGCGCTACTACAGCGAGCGAAAACGCATGATGTCGGGAGGTCGTCTGTGTGTTTGTGTTCGCAAACGAGTGAACTTTTTCACCCACTTTCATCTCAGCAATCGAGAAAGATGGGAAGCTGATATTTTGGATATATGTCCCGACTCCGTGTATCATCTTCTCGTTTTAAACAGATCTCGCGTACAGACCCCCGAAAAAAATGTGCAAATTTCTCTGGGAGAAAACGATTTCGCTGACCAGGCAAGGTACAAAGTTAAAACTTTGCAGGTATATTCTCTGTGCATGTGCGAGCTAAAGATTTCAAATTCAGCTGTAACGCACGCTTGTGTAATGCGTACTATCGCATCAAGGTCTGCACTTGGCGCTGTGCTAACTCGAAAAAACTAATTTCCGATTTGCACTTGCGCCCACGACTTAGGGCACTTCAGACATATTTCTAGCGAAATGGCTATTCCGTTTACCGGACAAGGCGCGAGGCTGAAAATTAACAGGGATATTCTACTTTCAAGTGCAGTCTTAATCCTGCTTGGAAGTGAAATTCTCTGCAGGTGGGTATCTGAAATACTTAACTTTACCACAAACACAGAAACGAGTGTATTTTGTAGGGAATGACCGCCCTCATCCTCTCCCAACATCCAGTTCATTTACATATATGGATTTTTTGACGAGTGACCGCTCCAGTAACATTTCCATTTTTCAATGAAAAACTGAAATTTTTCAAAAAATTGCATTTTTCAGTTTTACAAAAAGCAAGCATTTACTGGAAAAACGCCCGGGCTTCATGCTGTAAATGGGAATTGCATTCCAATTTCTTTTGAAACCTTTATTCATTAATTATTATAAATTTATCCTAACCCCCACCCTCCACAGGGTTGTAAAATTTACAGTTCCGGCGTCAAGGCATCGCAAAAACTAACCCTTATCCTCGCCGCCTAACAGCTTTGACCCTAGCCCTAAGCCCCGACTTCCCCTCCAATAAGCCTACTGTCCTTCGCCCCCACTACTTGGTTGGGGTCAACTCCCCTCTTTTCCTCCCTCCAAAAAACAACTAGAATAACAAATTGGACCTTCCTTTAAAAAGGAGCGTCAATAAGCGTGCCGTAACCAGCATGCCTACCGCCACGACAATTGCCTCTCCAGCGCCGAGTCATTATAGATCCAGCGTTAGGGAGCCGCGCGACCGTTCCCATCTCGTCGTCCGGCAGCGGGGCCAACCCTGCTGCCCTACCCTCCTTTCTTTTGTTTCTCATCCCCTCCCCCTTCCTCTTCCCAATCTCTTTTTGTCCTGGGTATGGGGTATTTTTGTGAGATGAGAAATGGGGCGGGGGTGTATAGGGCGCATGTAGATTATTAGGATTGTTATATTTTGTTGTTGTAGTTTTGTATGGTTTAATAACCCAAATTTAAGGTTACATATAAAAAGAACCGAATTGTCGCTGTGCGCGCGCAACACAGCAGCCTGTGCTGCATAAAAGAAATTGGAATTTGGAGAAAGAAAAGTGATTTTTACTCCACCCAGGCCTAGTCACATCAGTTCGGCATATTCTCTGACGGCCTCTGAAGGGCCTGGCGCATCGTTATTTTATTTATAATTTTAAAAATTCTGCATCCGCGGGAGTCAGTTAAATATTTATTATGCAAAAACTGATAACCATGTGCCTGAAGGCCCATACGGCCCTATAATGCAACACCTTCATCCCAAGCGACGCCCTTTCTCCTGCATGTCGGAAGAAGCCAAAACACAGCCAATATAAACCCAAATGTTAGGCTGCAGCGCAAGGATCATTCCTGCTGTTAGCGATCTGTGAGTTTAGTGCAAAAACGCATGATCACACCCGGCAAGCCTGGTGGCTTTCAGCTTGGGTTTAATTTTAGGCAAATTTGGCACTAATTTACTCTGCAGCCAGACTGATAAAGAAACCGTAATTTTATACGGATGTTTATTGTCCATACACAAGTTTGTAAGAATTAAATGAGCCTCATTTTTCTAATATTTCCTGTGCATAACGCTCAAATGCTAAAATTGTAACACTTCTCGTGGTAGTTAGAAGTTTTATGCGGATGCTGACGTACCTTGTGGCCACTGAAAGCGTAAGATTAGCTTCCAAAAATACTTCTCATATACGGGCGGCGAACTTGAATTTCAAAAATCTTTGGCAGACTTTTCTCACTTTGGAAAAAACTTTCGACTTACAACATCATACATGCTGGAAGCTGAGTTTTCACGCAGTTCCAAACAGTGTAGTGCTGCAGTTCCGGTTGGCACTATTTTCTTCCCAAATGTAGGGAAAGACCAAAAACATTACCAACAGGAGTTCATATATCAAAATGTAAAGCAACCACTACTGACGCTGTTAAAGATCTGGCTGTCTTAAATTCGCACAAAAACGCGTGGTATTTTTCAGATCGGCAATACGAAGTCGCGCTCCAAATTATATCCTTTTAAAAGCATCAAAGGTGCGATTTTCTTTAAAAACCTACTGGTTTACGACTTTTTTGATGACATTTTCTTACAGGAAAAATAATAAGCCATACTGTGCTCGACCACACGCTTAAATTGCCACCTCCCAGTTTAGTGCGAGGTTTGAGATTGTTCATGAGGAATTTTATGACACCTAGCTTGGAAAATTTCATACGTCGGTTTTTACAACCCTGAAAAAAAACCCGTGCCCTGCACCTTTCTGTTTTTCCCAAATCAAACAAACTTTGACAAGATCGTTTAAGCAGCGAAATGTCCAGGAAGATAGCCACGCTTATATGCAGTTTGCTTTAATTATTCAGTAACTGGCGGCATGGTGTCAGGCATTTTAGACTGGCAGTCACCAGTGTTGTCACCGCCACTATCATTATCAACAACTGATTTGATAAACCATGTGAATGATGATGAGCTTGTAAAATCGCTGGAGGCAGACGAAGGTATAGTGACCGTCTATTCCAATATTACCAGTTCAAATACAAGCATCCTTACCGGCACGGTGCTTAATGCGACAAATTCGAGTGCGTTTCATCGCATTCATGAAAGTGAACAGAGTCTTAGCAGTGGCGAAACGAAAGAAGACAGCATCGGCAGTGGTTTCGACATTCACGCCCAACTTGTTTTTTACAATGTCACAACGTCTTCTGAGGAAGGTTGCTGATTTTGACACGAATTTTTGTTTTTTTTTTTCAAGTTCCTCAGTTTATTAACATCAGATTTCCTTACTATTTGTCCGGTGACCATGACAATTAATTTTTGGAAACCTATAAAAACAGTAAAGGAAACTTTGCTAGCATCACGTCGCAAAGCCATTTTATATTCCAGATGAAACACCGGAACTAATGAACGTAACGAGATATATGCTCCTTGTATTTTGTAGAAGCGCATGTGACCTCAAAAATAAACAAGATTCTTAAGATTTTGAGTACCAATAATTTAACATCTGATAAATTCTTGTTGCCGGTTCTGTAACTAAAATGCCGAATAATTTAAGGAGGAAAAATTTTTCATTTTACACAAAACTATCTACCTTTCCCTCCCATCGCCAAAATTTCCTTGGCGCACCGTCTTTGGGAAAGAAACATTGGCTACGGCTCTGCTTTGCAGCTAACTTTGCTTGAGCAATGAGTTTTCAAAGCAGCCATCGCTGACTAAAAAGGTGATACTACAATTTTTTTTTTTCAGGTGACGAAACGGAGGAGTCAAACGCACTGTTCAGAGAATACAACTACGGTAGGAAAGTTGCACAAAATCCTTCGCAGATATCAAAAAAACTTGCTGGAGCAACTGTTTAATGAGTCCCTCTGCAGCCTCCTGTTCTAAATTTCTGAAAATTTCGCTCGGATCCTCGAAAGATCCAAATGACACAAAACCACATCCGATTTTTATGCGTTTTTGCATACATGCAAATGCAAAAATGCATATTTTGACTACCCCGGCGTGTGTGTGCTTATATGTTTGTATGTACGTTTGTGTATGTGTGTGTGTGTGTGTGTATGCGTCTGGGCAGGTATTTCAACTCGAAAACCAAGCATGCTCCAGCGCTAAAATTTTGCCAGTGGGTTTCCTGGCCATGTGCCTTTCCAGGACTGTGGTGTCAACCTTCAAACATGCTTGGGCTCTGCATACGCGCATGTAAAGGTTTCGGCCGGTAAATCGCTAAGGAACCAGGGAGGCGGGAGACGGGAAGGGGGAGGGGAGCTGAAATTTTGAGGGGAAGTTCTCAGCCCATGCACAATTTAAAAATTTCAAATTTAGCTTCCAGCTGCGCATGTTTCTCAAGTAAGCGCCCATGAAAATTTTTGGCAAGAAAACTGCTAACTCGAGAATCAGAAGAACTGGAAAGTTGAAATTTTAACGGTTTGTTCCCTGTTCCAACGCCACTTAGTTGCACAATTAACTTCCTGAGCTGCGACGATCAGTATGTTGCGTATTCTTGCTACTGAGGTTCCAAGCGATCTTATTACAGCACAAAATATTGCAAAAACGCATGATCACACGGGTCCGCTTGGTGCGCGTCGCTATTGATTTATGCGTCTTTGCTGAACAGTGCTATAGCGTAGCTACAATGAGCATCCAGGCTGGAACAAACCAGACCTACCGGTGCGTACAAGTTTTTTCGCACTAAACTCGAACATCGCTATTAGCAGGAATAATCTCTGCGCTGTAGCCTAACACTTGAGCTAATATTGGCCGTGTTTTGGCTTTTTCGGCACGCAGGAGGAAGTGCGTCGGTTGGGATGAAGGTGTTGCATTATGGTGCCGTATGGACCTCCAGGTGTATGATTACCAGCTTTTTGCATGAAGCCCAGATGTTTTTCCGATAAATGCTCGCTTTTTATGCGTTTTTGTTGTGCAGCGCTATAGCACTCCTGAACACAAAAATCGTTAAAAATCTATCGCAACTCGGACCGGAACCCAATCGTATATGTAAATGACACTAGTTAATTTGCATACATGGTTTTTTTTTTGTCAAACGACTGCCCGAGCAATACTTCCACTTTTTAGTGAACTGGAAATTTGCATTTTTTCAAAAAAT